GTGTAGGTACGGAAGAGGGATTGTTCCACGTAACCTACAAAGAGGCAGGCGTAGCTTGGGCCCATGCGGGTACCCATGGCTACCCCCTTTGTCTGTAGGAAGTGGGAGGAATTGAAAGAGAAGTTGTTGAGGGTGAGGACGAGTTCGGCTAAGCGGATGAGGGTGTCAGTGGAGGGGGACTGGTCGGGCCTGCGGGACAGGAAGAAGCGGAGGGCCTTAAGGCCATCTGCATGGGGAATGCAGGTGTAGAAGGACTGGACGTCCATGGTAAAGATGAGGTTTTGGGGTTTATTTTACAGATGGAGAACAGGTCAGTAGCTATGAAGCTGACAGATTAAGAACATTGGGATGTAAAGTTGTATTATAGCTGGAGGACACCAAAGGTAATGATTCCAGAAACAATATAAACAGGGATCAGAAAGGTCAGTGAAAAGTGATAATTGATTAAGGTGAGACTTAAATGCACACTAATAAGGGGAAAACATCACTATGAACACTTTCTTGAAGTATGATTGGAAATATAGCCAATACTGTCAGAATTCTGGTACATGTTTCCATTCCTGTGGGAAACTAGTGAAGAATATTAGTCGGAACAATTATCCATTGCTACTGTGATGTAAGATGTGTGATTCATATACATACTAATATATTCAGTTTAGAGTTTGAACGAGTGGCGCGTCTTTGGTCTGTGCCTATGAAGGAGTTTAATGATTAATTTATAAATATTTCTATTGACACGGTGATTTATTTTAAAACACTGTAAAAGAGACAGACTTCCTGCAAAGTAATAGGGTTTTTGGGAGCATTTTACGAGTGAACAGAGTAAATGGTATGTATCAGGCTTCAGTTAGAAGGATCTGGAATTGTTTTCTGCTTTGGTTTAGAAGAGATACTCATAACTTGAAGAAACCTTTTTGGCTTTCAAGTTTATAGAAGCCATGGTTGAAGCTGAATGTTAAAGTTGCTCCTGAATAAAGATTTATTTTAACATGCTTCATGGGTTAGTTGAAGCTGAGAAAGTCTAAACTCAGCTTTATTAAGATTCAAGAAAAGGCAATCAGATTCTCTAGACTGGGAATTGAAGCATTTGTTCAGTTAAGCCCTATCAAAGTGACGGGGAAGGGAATTCTCTTTGGTGTGTGTACTGTAA